AAATAAATAAATATTATTTCTTAATGTAAAATATAATAACTTTTTAATTTGGTAATCAATGCCAATAGCGAACAAAATGTTATAATTAGAAAAAATTAAAAGTTATTGCTTTTTATTCATTAAAAAATCAATCGTAAAAAAAAAAATATTTTTTTACTCATAATTGCAGAATTTTTTAAAAATTTTAAAAATTTACAATTATTAGCCGGCAACGTTTGTCGTAGAAACGTCAGTAATGCACCATTTCGACATTTTTGTTCAATTTTGATCAATTGCTGATCAATTTCTCGTTCAGTATCGTTAACATTTTCAATCAGCAAACTGTCATTTGTTGTCTCCATATTTACGCTATGACGACAGAGCTCCATTAGCATAATTGATGAATCTTCTGGTTTAGTCAATTCAGCATCAATTCGATAATCCCAATATGGAAGTATCATTCCAATACTCTCTTCCAATCTATAATAGGCAAATTTATGACTTGTTGTAAAATGAATTTTTGCATTATCAAAATTAACACTTTTAGAGCATTTCATATGAAAATATTATTGTAGCATTGGTTGAAGGAAGAGTATATACTATTAAAACGGTAACATGATAAATGAACGAATTGTATGTGAAATGTGAGTTAATATTTTACAAAAATCAAATGATTATATTTACCTTTTGATAATTAAGTTATTTGTCATTTCTGCCACTGTTAATTCATCAATCAAAGTAGTATTATTTGCGGATTCTCGTTGAAAATCTTCCAATTTATGTTGCAATATGGATAGAGTTATCTCATCGAGCTGTCGTAATTCTCTCCGTTCATTCCATACGTTTTGCTGAATTAATTTCAGATTTAAAAAAGTTCTTTTCTAATTTTGATATGATAATGATGATTTAGTGTATTTTCTAGCAGAACTAATAAGTTATGATTTTATTGAAATAAGAATAATTTATGCAAAAATGGAGTTACAGAGATTTATCGTATTATGTTCCAGAGGACAAGAAAATTTCTGATAATTTCTAAAATAGAAACAAAAAAAACAATTTTGGAGCAGTAAAATAGTATACCTTTGTTACTAAATTTCTATTAAAATTTTTGCAAAACTTACATTTTGTAACTCCCCGTGAATTTTTAATTGATGAATTAATGTGGCGAAGCATATCAGAAGAATGAATAATAATAAACTCATTCTGATATTTCCATTAAAATACAGTTATGAATTTTTAAAATCTATAAATGAGGAGCGAGCTTGTACATATCATGGCATTAGCAGAATTTTTATCAACAATTTAAACCTGTCTTAAAATCTTCAGTAGTAAAAGATAATTTTATTCAAATTTTGTCATTCCAATTTCCTGTTTCTAATTAATTTCTACTTACGCTTTTGTTCTCTGTTGTTAATGTTAAAAATTTAATGTTTGTATTTAAATTCAAGTTCGAAAATACATTAAAGTTTACTGAAAGTTTTATTCATGCCTGAATTCTCATCTCTTTTTTTGTTATATGAAAGCTAAATCAGTTTATGATTAGAAATAAAGTATCTGAAAAAAAAAAAAATTCTAGAACGGATACAATTGATAAGCTAGTTGCTGCAACAATTGTAAACAATAATAAACCATCTCAAAGGCCCATAAAATAAGTCTTCGTATGCTAATAATTACAAATTATAAACTAAATGAGTAAACTAAATAGAAAGTTTTCTTATAAATAAAATGAGATATTTAATATTTATTGTTTATTAAACATAGCATTGGCATAGTAATATGAAACTTTCAATGATTTATTACAGACTGCAACATAAACAGCAATTATTAGCATTCAAATACTTCTTTACTAAATGAAAACGATATATTTAATACTTTCACTTTTTATAGTAATTATTAAATGGAAATTACCATAAAAAGTGAAAGGAAAATGACTAAACTGTCTAAACGGTTTAAAGATTAATTCTAAATCTCTTAACCAATTAATTGCACTTATCGGAGATAATGGTTCTTAAATTAATTAGTGACGTTTAATATATTTTTCATAAGATTACATTCAAGCCTATCAAAACAATCATCCAGTTTTGAAATGAACAGCATGATCACACAAATTTATGCATTGATTGAAAAGATGGTGAGGGAAAAAATTACTGTAAGGTAACTTACTTAAGCTGTTATTATTTTGAGATTCATTTATTTAACTTCCTGCTTTAGGATATACCCTTTATTCCTAATTCTTTGTTCAATAATTTTTTATGCAAAGCATGACGAAAATACAAGTATTTATAATGAAATATGGATTATCGGTTTCGATTAACTTTTAAAGTACTAATATCTTTTAAAAATTCGAAAATAAAACTAAAGTAAAAATGAATTATTTTCAAATATTTTGCGTGCATATAAATAAGATATCTTGCAGTCAGCCTAAATTTTGTACAAAATTAATAAGGAAAAAATCAATAAATTAATGGCAATTTGAGAATTCGGAATAAAAACAGTGTGAAAGATAGTACTCGAGTTTGAATGGAAATATAGATCGGCATGTAAAATTATCAAATTAATTAACTGCTAACAGATTAATGGTGATAGTGATTTGTTTCTTTCAATAAAACAAAACTGAGAAGATGTAAATAAAGCAAATAAGTGAATGAACTGTCTTGGAGCAGGAAAAAGTTTGAACTAATATTATTGATAAATGATTGGTAATAATGTTGATTGTTCGAGAATATTCAGACACACCTACTGGTCTCAATTTTTTGATTACGGATCGTTAAATAATGACGTTATCCATAGAAATCGATCAACAAATCAGTCAATTCTGTTTACTCATTCAATCACATCAGAGATAACTTATATTTATATCCAACATATCACTTCGAAACAAACATTTGCAACATTGTTAAATTTTTTAAAAGCTTTTTCAGGTTCAAAATCTGAAGCATTTGTCTAAGTGAAGCCTGTTTTGTACCATTCATTATTTATCATATCTCTTTATCAGTGTAGTTTATAGCACGTCATTGTTTATTATTTCAAAAAAAAAAATTTATCCCTAAATGCTGCAAAATCTCATTAAAAAATGAATCTTAAATCGCTAAATAAAATATATTCTTATAAAAAGTCAGCAAGTAAAAGGAATAACTGATAAAAATGTTTATAATAATATCAATGATAACGATTCTATCGATGAATTGAGTGCTTTTATTATTAACAATTAATATCAGCAATAATTTAAAAGTCAAATCTCTGATAGTAATAATCTGTTCTGAGATAAAATTGTCAATTGTCAGATCGTCAAACTTTGTCAGTAGAAAAATTATCAAACAAACATGGAACCTATTTTTCATTCATGGAATGCTTTATTCGGATCTTATCAGTTGATCAACTGCTTATAAATTGGAGCTTGCTCTTTTAGAAATTTATCTCAAAACTGTCAATGAATAATATAAGAGGAGGATCATGCATGGATTAAGCATGCTATCCTTTCCACTCAGAGATATATTACCAGTAAAAGTGATAAAAAACTTTCAAAATACCTTTGAGATGTGATCTTGAAATGCTGATATTCTCGTATACTCATTCCCAAGTAAACAATGGCATCCATTAATTTCCGGTGAGATGATTGGAATAACCTCAAAAGTTTTGAATATTGGGAAAAATGCTACCTCAAGACAGGCTTGTTAGACAGGATGCTGTATGCTACAAAAGTTTTCCCCGAAGAGATACAGCTGAATAATGATTAGCTGTTTCATTATAAAAAGTTCTCTGACATAAAAATGGAAAAATTTTGAAGAGGGAATGATTGATGGAAAATATTAAAATAGTATTGTAAGTGTAAGTGGAACAAATGGAAATATTAAAATAGTACTGTAAGTGGAAAATATCTGCAGCATTATTTTAATACACAGAGCGAAAGCTACTGATATCGTTTATTCCAAAACATTCTATTCCATATAGATGAAAAAGAACAAAAAATAAAATAAACGAAATACTTTGATTATAAAATTACACGTCAAATACAGCAAGAAAACACAATATGCTGAAATGGAAAGCCTAAATTGAAACCTTTTATGATTCAAGAGTAAATTACATTTATTACAAATTTGTGACAACTGATAATGATGATGATGAGTGATAATATATAATGATATTTCATAACGATGATGAATGACAATGACAATTAAATATAATAATATTATTGTTAAGACTTTCATATCAACAATAATATGATAATAATTTGTAATAACAGCACTGCAATAATAAATAATACTAGAAGTAACAACAATAGAAACCGATAAAGTTCCAGTACAAAGATAGGAATGAGCAAAACCTACGGGTATCGATGTCCGTGATCAGAGAAGTTCATGCCCTCTTACTTTCCTAAGACAGAACTAAAAATATAACACCAACTTATTCATATTCTCGCATTTGGAAATTACAAAATAACCTCGCTCAAAGAGTATTGTTTGATCTTTTTTTGTTTTCTAATATTCCATATCTTCTCCTGTAATTTCATCGATATTTCCTGCCCTTCAAGCTTCCCATCACTTCCCGCAACCCATACCTCACTGAAGTCCGTTTACAGTTCATACTTGGTATAAGCAAGTAGGCCGCATTAAATGTGATGCCAATTTCAAATTTAAGCTGTTTGATATGGTAAGGGTGGATGTTGTTTTGACTGATTTGGAGTGGATTTCTGTTCTGTTGGTACTTCCTGTAATCTATGACCTGTTATTTTGGAGCGTGACCTCTACAAATATGGGCAACCTTCCTTGGCCAAGTTCATGAGAGGTCAGTTCAGCTCAAGTGTTACGCTAAAGCTAATAAGTATAATGGGTGCCACTTTTGTCTGTAATCAACTTTCAGGTGAAACTTTCCATCTATAATTCAATGAGCAACTAATCATTTTTAGCAATCAGTCCAATCATTGATTTATTCTGCCATGTATATCAAAGAGGTATGTTTCTGTCTTTCCTACTTCCATCCTCTTTTTGTTTACTGTTTTTTTTTTTTGATATACCATATATTTAATAAACTATTTGATTAAATATGGTGGTTTTTATTTATGGTTTGAATGATTTATTTTTGTTTTCGACGCGAATTGATGTCATGTCTGCAATGAGTATATTAAAGTGACAATTATAGGTAAGTATAAGTGGGTTTCGTAGTTATCGGGAAACAACAGTCAATGATTTTTCACCGCGACATAATGTTGTTGTTGGGCGGAACGGTAGCGGGAAGAGTAACTTCTTTTTCGGTAAGTTGTTCATTAAGCGTGGGAAATGTTCGATTTTCATACATCTTCAAAGTTATAAAATAAAAAAAGAGGTATATAATATAAAATATAAAGTGAGAAGGATGTTGCGGTATAATTCTCCCTCCATTTGATCATCTTTTAAATGGATCCTTTTTAAAATCTGATAATGTTTGTTTAATCTTATTAAATAAATTATTTTAGCAAGAAATCAGGTGTTAAAGCGTCAATCTAAGTGTTCGAGAACATAGTCGTTCCTCGATAATAGGACTTGCAATTTTTGCGAAGTGCTTCCTACATAATTTAATTAGAGTTGAATGTTCTCTTTCACTCGTTAATTTTGCATAAAATCTCTTTATTTTTGTGTTGATTTGCAGCAATTTCTATTATGTTGAATAGTGGAAATTTTATCATTATGCTTTCAGCTATACAGTTTGTGCTTTCGGACGAATTCAGCCATCTTAAAGCAGAACAAAGACAGGGTTTAATTCACGAAGGTACGGGAGATCGTGTTACAACAGCTAGCGTCGAAATTGTTTTCGATAATGCTGATCATCGAATTGTTGCCGTTAGTTTGTTATTAGCTTCAGAAGCTAAATATAAATGCTTATGATCCTATCGATGATTTTATTTGTACTAGGCTGCGGTTTTTGTACCTTTATCGTATTTGGCTTTGAATTTAGCAGAATTAATTCATTTTTTTCAGATTGAAGCGAGTGAAGTACGTGTCTTGCGACGTGTTAGTATGAAGAAGGACCAATATTTTATCGATGCAAAGTTGGTTGCTCGTAGTGATGTGAGTTTATAATCTTTCATTTAATTTTTTGATTCCTTCAAAAATAATTTTTTGAATTCTTCAAAAAGAGTTTTTTTTTTTTGAAATTTCTAAACACTTTATCATTCCAGGTTGTGAATTTGATGGAATCAGCGGGATTCTCTCGTTCGAATCCATAT